AAGGGCAAGCTGATGTTTGTTATTTCACATAAATGCGGTACTAAAATCTCTCTATTCATTAAGCGAACATCCTGGGTTTTTCTTAACCCCCATCAACCTTAGTAAGGGGCTTTACTATTAACTGGCACACTTTATTTTAGACCAACAGCTGCCCAATGTGCAGGCATGAACTACCTACAGATGACCCTAAGTATGAAGAAATGAAAGTTTTAAAGGTGATATGCTCTTTGACCAACTCAATGTAATTCAGCAGAAAGCAAATTGTCTTGCATGCAAGGCAAAAGCTCATTCCAGTCTGCATGAAGCAACAAGGAGTTTTGTGCCTCTCTGGGTATAGGAATTTTTGCTCTTAAGCATTTTATTTGACTTCCCAGACAATTGGCCAAACTCAACACACCAGTGTTAGACTGTGGTGGGGTGAACAGGGGGATTAAAATTAGAGTAAACGGCATTTTCCAAGAGAGCTGCCACCCGGGAACTTTAAACAGAGAGCCTGGTCCCTGTTACATGTATATCTAGTAAAGAAGCTGTCTCAAACAACATTCAATTAGATCAGCATGAGGCTCTTAACAAAATTAGAAGCTACATAATAGCAATTACATATTCTGGGAACTCCCAAAACAGAAGCATATTCTTGGGGTTGTTTTGATTTGGATGGCTGAGACCATAAGATTTCCTTCCTTTGTGATTGCTTCTGACAAATGAATGGATTGAATATTTTGCAACTTGGAGCATTTTTAGAGTGTTTCTGTGACTACATTTGGTTTGGCTGTCACGACCGACTGATCCAGGTTTTGAAGCATATAACAACGTTGTCTATTCTCCCTTGCGGTCATGAGCTCTGAGATGACTCACTAGTCCAATATAAGAGTGGCAAACTTTTGGACACTTGTGGCATGGATAGCAACCCTGTGCTAGTAAACGTTCTTTGCAGCAGCGACGACGTTCCCTCAGATCTTCTATTCTATTCAGATCTTCTATTCTATTCAGATCTTCTACTCTATTCAGATCTTCTATTCTATTCAGATCTTCTATTCTGTGACTACCATCTAGGATTACATACATACATAGCCTTTATTAACGTGTCTAGTCATTCTAATGCCTGTAGCAAAATAAACTCAGTTTGTTAGTTATCAAATGTTCCTCAGGCCAGATAGGAAGCAGTAGGCTGTGAAATGTATTTGATTGACTCACTATTCTCAGTGTCCTACACTTGTAAAACTCAATATCAAAGATTTGTTTCTTATTATGATTATTGATAAATTTTTTGTTATTTCTCTGAGCAGGTGAAGGAGCAAGATCAACACTTCAGGGTGGAAACACTTCATGATTCAATGTTTTCTTGACAAAATCAACTACCTCACAGTTGTGTAGTTTATATATTCTATCAATTGTTAATAATGTTATGGAAATGTTCTGGCAAAGTGCAAAGCTAACTATTACAGATTGAAATATCAGTCTCTAACTCTGTTGGTTCCAAATAGATATACTAATTGATATTAATTAATTTCTGACACAATCACAGTTAATTAAAAAATTCCAGCCGGCTTAAAGGCTTTACTATTCCATCAATTGTTAAGGATATAACCAAAACTTTAAAAATTACTCTGACTGCATCAAAAATCATCCAGATTTAGAATTCCCTTGTCAAACTTTTTGTGCCTAAAAGTTAGAAGCATTTGATAATTTTTTCAAACACTATCACCCGAGAATGGAACATTAAGGTCATGACAACAAAGGAAATGATAGCAAACTCAAGAAGCTTTTAAAAGACAACTCAATCTCCTTGTGAATACCATTATCCCTTTCACTATCATGAGTGACCAAGACAGAATTTCTCCTTAGAACTTCAATACAATATCAAGCAGACAAGTGATGAGAATAAGAAAAAAATTTAATTTAGGGGATCATTAGTTGATCTGATACCAAATTCTTTAAACCAACATCATAAGAATTCTTTGGCAGACAGTAAGGAGAATTGCTGATGAGATCTTGGGAGGAAAAGGGATAACTTATTGGAAATGGATAGAGAATAGGATGGAGAACGTACATACTGACGATACAGTGAAAAGGGAGCTATCTGACTTCTTTTCCCAATCTTAATGTTTAACTTTTATGAGGATTTCATTTAGAGTTTAAAAAGGTCTCTTCCTTTTAAACTTTTGTGAGTGACACATGACTGAATCTAAATCAGTGCAGGAAAAAAACGAACACTTGCTTGCTCTATATAACTAACAGTGGTGCTGTAGATTGTATAAATGTTTTAACTCAAGCTTAGCAAACCACACAGTAATTATTATGATTAAAACCAATTATGTATGTAAAAAAAAAAAAACAATTGAAAAAAATAAAATTTAATTATAACATGTACCACACAGTGACGTTATTCTCTTTTGTCAATACACAGGGAGCCCAAGGTTTCTAGGGGAGGATATTATTTTAAGGCCTTGTATGAGAGTTTAGGCTCTGTCTGGGAACCCATGAATGATAAAGCATATAA